TGGTTGCAGGGCCTAGATATAGCAGGTTCTTGTGATTGGAAAACCAGACAGATCCTTCTGTACCTTACAGTACTCTCATTAAATCTGAACAAGACGAAATCCTATCCTCTATGGAAGTGGTACTCTGTGATTGTTTTCTTTCGCCGTAACACCTCTTGTTTTAACTACTTTCCCAACACTGAGAAGTCGTGATGTGTGCTTAATGAGAAACAGGAAACCTATGGGCAAATTACAATTTGCATTTCGTCCAGTATGGTTCTTGAACCTGAAAGGGACATGGGGACCCAAGGAAAGTCTAATTCATTTTATTGATGCTTTCTTCTGGGTCTCCGGTATCCTCCTTTGTTGACTTTCTATTTTTTCATATTCTTATCCCATTATGAAATTTCTCTATACTGTCTTGCCTTTCCTTGCCTTCTTGCCCTAGCTCTAGAAAGTTACCAGTCAGAGCTAGGCATACCTTCTAGTCCAAAGCATTCCACCTCCTTCCACTTCTTAGAATCCTTAGCAGACTTCAAGGCATAGTTTAGGTGCCAGTTCTTAGAGGTAGTCTCTCCTGATCTACACCCCACCCCAAGTTGATTGTATTCTCTCCATCTTAAAATTATCTTTAATTTACATACTTTTTATATCCAACAATAAAGTGTAAACTCCTTGAAAGCAAAGACTATTTTTTTAGTCTTTGTATCTTTGATCTAATATAATCCAACACAAATTTATTAAATACCCATTATGAGCAAGGTATTGTATTAAGTCCTACAGACTAGAAAGATAAAATGAAGAATAGTTCTTCCTCCGAAGAGGTAACATTTTTCTGGAAGAGATAAACAAATATGATAACTTGAGAAGGAAGAGACATGCCAATGAGGGAGGGCAACTAATTGACACAATGGATAGAATGCTGGACTTGGAGTCAGGAAGAAATGGGTTCTAATCCAGCCTTAAACACTTCCTTAGCTGTGTGACCCTGAGCAAGTCACTCGACCCCTTAGCCTCAGTTTCATCATCAATAAGATGGGAATGATAACAGTAGGACCTACCTCATAAGATTATTGTGAGGATCAAATGAGATAAGATATTTTACAAACTGTAAAGTGCTATATGAGTGCTAACTATTGTTATTATGGTGAGGGGAGTACAGAGACACCACGTGCATATAGAAGCATATACATACAAAGCAAATAAAAAGGAACTTTAGTAAAGAAAAGAACCGATACCTAGGTGAAACCAAGGAAAGATTCATGTAGAAGGTTACCTTTGAGTTGAGGTAGGAGTGATAAGGAAGTATACCAAAGGCATGAGAGATAGCCAGGGCAAAGGCACTCATTTTATTTCTTAAATATGTAAAGGTTCTATATTTTCATAAGTGTTCTATATTTCATGAGGCTTATTGTTGTTTGTCCTTTGTTCTCAAAGAGGACTATGACATCAAGAAGGTGATGCCATGACTTGCAAGTGAATTGGATTGATGTGAGGGAGGACTATGCAAAGACACCAGCCTCACCTTCTCCTCCAAAGCCATTTGGGACCAGTGACCCGATGCACATCAGGATGGCTGGAGATGGCCCTAGATGGGGTGGAAGACCTTGGCCTTTTAAAGCTATGGTCTTTAGCAGGTCTCAGTTTGACTGAGGCATTGCCCATTCAGTGCACTTTCTCCAGAAATGGAAATCAGAGCCCCCTTTGACAACTGGTAGAGGTCTTCAAGAGAAGTCTTGGTTTACTAGTAGCAGATCTTCAAGAGGTGCTCTAGTCAAAAAGTTCATTGCCCTGAAGCCAGCCTACTAATACATATTTTCAAGCTTCTCTAGGCTGGTCCTATGATGACAGGCATGCGATGTCTTTTTCCAGCTTGTTCTTGAAAACTTTCAAGGTTGATCATCCCCATGAGGCACCAGAATTAGTCTTTGGTAGAAGACAGTTTTTTGAGAAGATAATTTCCCTATACCCCAAGACTGAAAAGATATATGCAAAGAATTAATTTTCCTAGGGAAAGCCCAGTATTGCTGATAAGAAAATAGTATTAATTTCCCTATGTGCCTTTCTGTTCTTCCTTACAACCTTGTTACTCACATAGACAGCCTATGTGGGTTAAGCAAAGAGGTCAGTGAATAATGATTATTTTCAATCATATGACCTAAGTCCCTTGTGGAAATTAAAAGGTACTTTAAAACTCTGATTTCCTGAATTTTAATGGCATACCCTCTTGAATGGTAAAACATACTGGATTCAATTTGTTTTAACATGGAGCTTTGAATTCAGCCAAGAAATGACTAATGGTTGTACCATGGAGATCACGGTTTTATTTTCAAGAACAAGAATTCAGTTTTCTGATTAGGATCAGTTGAAACAATTTTCCTTCTTTCTTCCTTTTGTTTGTCCCTTTTCTCTTTCTTTCTCTTTTTTCTTTCTGTTCCTCATTTTCTCTTGCTTTCTCCCTCCTGCTTTCTCCTTCTTTCTTTTTATTTTTTTCTTCCTTCCCTCCCTCCCTTCCTTACTTCCCCCTCTCTTCCTTCTTCCTTTCTTCCTTCCATTTTCCCTTCTTTCTTCTCATCCCTTCCTTCTTTGTTTTCTCTTTCTTTTGTTCTTCCTTCCTTCCTTTCTTTCTTTCTTTTTCAGAGGCTATTAGAGATCACCAGAGAAGTAATGAACCCAACAGTTTGTACATGACAAAAAGGACACAATCCTCCATAGCCTTGTTCTAATTTTGTGTGCCCAGGGAGTGATAAAGGAGCACATTTCTAGAATAGATTAGTTATACATTGCAATTCCTCATTTCACTAATCCATTCTTCCTTCTTTGAAAAGCTTTAATAAATTCAACTAATATTTGTGGCTTATTAGCACTTCCCATTCTGCTGCATATTTGATTGCAATATTCTGCAAATCTATAGAATATTGATTGCACCAGCAGTATCCTTCTTCTTAACCAGAAATTCTCTTCCCAAGTTTAATCTAAACAATAATCAGCATATGAAAAAGGAAATGTGGAAAATACTGTATAAAAGCAGAAATCATTCATGTTTTGAAATGCATTAAAATTCATCTCTAACTGTTTTTTATAAGCTAGTAATACAGGATCAATCATTTTCCAGCTTGAAGACTGCAAAGGTTGGGTGATTTTTAAAGCCCAACATTTGCCTGCTTATACTAAGAAAGACAGTGTAAGGTGGTGGATAGCAAGCGGCATTCAAATCCTGCCTCTGACACATACCAGTTCTGTAATCCTGGAGCAATCATTTAATCTCTCAAGGTTCCAGGCATCCCTTCAAAGCTATAAGTTGCTAAGAAGCTGTTATTGCCATTTTATTTTCCTAGGGGAAGCCTGACTGATGAAATGACACTTCTGAACCACTCCTCTCCCTTGAAATGCCAAGGAGCAAATGAAAGGGAGATCCAAGTTCTTTTCCATCAAATAAATTTATTTTGTAAGCACAGGTTCTGGGAATAAAGGATATGCATTGGTTCATTTGACGATCCTAATTTGCTTCCTTTTGCCAATACCTCTGATAAAGTCATACTCTTGATGTCCCGTCATAGGTATCGGATTGGCTGTAGTCTCTCAAAGACCATGACAATAGAGTGAAAGTTCTGGTAGGATCTTCCAAACTGGCAAGGTCCCTTGCAGCTACAGTGATGTACTATGCACCCATCATCTGAGGATCAACAAACTAGTGAGGTTGAGAGAGTCTCATCACTAGATGGGCTGCAACATGTTGAGTCTTTCATCCACAGCAACTTTGAATGGCCACCTATTAAGTTATGGAAGGGGCTAGGGTCTGCATCCATGGAAAGACTACTCACCCTCCACAACAAAATGACATATCCTAGAATTATAGCTGTATCTTGACAATATCAATCAATTATTGTAACTTGTTAAGTGGGCAAGTGCAAAAATTATAATAGCATACATTTATATAGCCTTTTTAGTAGTTTCCTGTTAATAATCTTGTTGGATACATAGGTTGTTTTTATTCGGTCACATCTAACTCTTAATGACCCCATTTGGGGTTTTCTTGGCAAAGAAATTTCCTTGTCCAGCTCATTTTACAGATGAAGAGACTGAAGCAAACAGGGTTAAGTGACTTGCCCAGGGTCACACAGCTAGCAAATGCCTCAGACTGAGTTTGAACTCAGGTTTTCCCGCCTTCAGGCCTAGTGTTTTATCCACTGTGCTGTTAAGCTGCCCAGGTATGTAGTACAAAATTATTCCCATTTTACAGCTGAAGAAACTGAGGTTCAAAGAGCTTAAATAACTTGTCTGTGTTCATACAGATAGTGTTTGAACAGTTTCTCCTGACTCTAAGTTCTATACATTTTCTTTTCATTATGCCATAATATTTAAAGTAGGAAAGGAATTTAGAGTTCCATGGGGAATTTGATTCAAAAGAATTCAGGGGTCATTGGGTCTGAATCGTAATCCCATCTGTGATGCTTATTAGCTGTGTGACCTTGGACAATTCACTTAGTCTCCCTTACCGTCCATTTCCTGATTTGTAAAACAAGAAGGTTGGACTAGGAGGCCTCTGAACTCTCTTCTGCCTCTAAGTCTATGAATACGTGAAGGAAACTGAGGTTGGGAAAGGTTGGGATTTTCCCAAAGTGACACAGATAGTAAGGGATTTGAAACCAGATGCAGTGACTCCAAATTTAGCTCTTTTGACCCCTCCCCCCAAAATTCGAAAGACAGCTAAAATTCTAGCCACGTGTAAATGTCTGTCATAGAGTAGATACATAATTACAATGAGAGGACAGGAGTTATATTCAAATAACTCTTTCCATAATAACCATGATATTTTGTATTCTCATCCTGTTCACAGCATGACTTAGACTTCTTAATGAAAATGTTTACACTATTTCAAAAGTCAGTGCACTTGACACAGTTTTGCCATAACTCTGAAATCAAACACCAACAAATTCTTTTTTCCTGAACTTAAAATAATGTCAGAATAATAATCCATTTTCATATTCATTTTGGATATTTCCTCTTTCCTTTTTCAGGTGAAGGACTGTCAGAAAGAAGTGTAGAAATCATCCTCTCTGTTACTTTGTGTATCCTCTCCATAATTCTCCTGGTGGCTGCTATTTTTGCATTTGCAAGGTAAGATTGGCTTATGATAATGTTTTTGGATTTATAAGACTGTACACATTATCTGAGCCTCATCACCTCTAGTTTAAGGAGTTATTATACAGATGCAATGATGTAAACATTGTGCTGGTGTAACAATTGGAGTGAATGTCAATTTGACTGACTATTGGTGTCATTGCCTCCTTTCTCCACCATGATTCCAGCTCAGTATCCTCTTACACCTTAAATGGATGCTACTCTTTTATTGCAGCTGTATCTATATTCTGCTTAGTGGAAATGGAGGGCAGCTGGTCAGGATTCATTTCTTACGCTTGACTTCTGATGATCACTCTCCCAATGTCCTTTCGTCCCTCATGCACTACAGTCTGGCTTTCAATGGTTTTCCTTAAATATTCCACATACAACACTTCTCATTCCTTTAAATAATTTTCTGAAAAGTATGATGGCCTGGTGGATAGAGTTGGCCCAGAGCCAGGATTCATGTCCATTCTCAGACTTATACTGGCCACGTGACCCTGGGCAAGTCACTTCACTTTGTTATACTCTAGACATCTCTTTAAGATTGTAAGTTACAGAGAAGGTACTGACCTACATTGGTAGAAGCAATTTTCTCATCTGTTCCCAATAAAATCATATCACTCATATCTGATAATTTCTTGCAGATTTATAGTTGCTAAATTGTGGAGTGCCAGACAGGCACAGTAAGGCAAAGTGCAGAAAGGGTTTTATTACCCAGAATGCTTATAGAATAACAGAATCAATACTGCATTGACACATCCAGGACCATAGATTTAAAGCTGGAGGGGAACTCAGAAGTCCTGTAGTCTGACATTACCTTCCACCCCCTCATTTTACAGATAAGGAAATAGTCGCAGAGAGGTCAAGTGTCTTGCCTAGAATCACACAGCTAGCAAGAATCAGGGCTGCAGTAACAGGAAGAGGGAAAAATAAGACAGTAGATCTGGGACTCCAGAACCTGTCCTCTTCCCACTGTACCTTGCTGCCTCTAGTTAATTGAATTTTCTGGTTAAATGAAGGCTAAGCAAACAATTATCATTCTGTTTGGAGCCTTGTTCCTGAAAATCCTAAAATGTAGAAACAATTTCCTTGCATAAGCAGCAATGAGGAAAAAATAACTGGATGTTCTTTGAAGATAATCTTTAGGTACATGTCTTATGATTGTAATTGGATAGTACTATTGATTTGAGAAAAGACGTGTTACAGATTTCAATAGATCTAGGCTGACCCTGGAAGTTCTGTGGGGTTTTTTTTTAAGCCCTCATTAGCAACTTGTTTTCTTATGAATTGTCCTTCCCTTGGTAAAGGACAGAATGTTAAGATTATTAAAAAAAATAGTTGACTAAAGTTTTTTTCTAAATCCAGAGATTATTTCCCAATGCATGTTGCACTCTTACTCATATGTCCCAGTAATGTGCTTTAAACACATACATACATGCACATGAATACAAAACACTAGTATTGCTAGTGAATCAATGTGACCTTCGGGGAAGGAGGAAGGGAGTAAGCATATTTATAGAGCCTACTATATTCCTGGCACTATGTTAAACACTTTTACAAATATTATCTCATTTGATCTTCATAACAACTTTGTGAATGTTATTATTATCCTCACTTCACAGTTGAGACAACTAAGGTAAATAGGGGTTAAGTGACTTCCCCAGGGTCACCCAGCTACAATGCATCTGAGGCTGGATTTGAACTCAGGTCTTCCTGACTCCAGGAACCTTAGACCTTGGGCACATAACCTTTGTGGGTCTCAATTTCCTCATCTGTAAAATGAGGGGGTTTGATAAGATTCCCTCTAAGGTCCCTTTCAGCTCTGGGGCAATTATGCTATGCTGTTTGTTAATGTAGGAATATCACATAGTGAGTAGAGTGTCAGCCTCAGCAGTAGAAAGATTCAGATTCAAGTCTCACCTTTAACACACACTGGTTGTTTGGCATTGGACAAGTCATTTAATTTCTCTAAGACCATCCGTTGCTGATCTGCATTTGTAAAGGGAGTCTTCTCACCAAGCGTTCCTTATGTCCAGGAGTGTGCTGGACACATTTTGTCTGGAATTGTTAAATTTTCAGTGTGAGCACTTACATCTCAGGAATAGGAAAGTGCTACAAATTGGGCTTAATTTATTGTTTTGGGGATGTCCAGACTTAAGAAAGTGATGAAGAAAATGTTAATAATGTATATTAAATTTAAAAGTGCATCATAAGCACATTTTCCCCCAAAGAACCACTTGTAAAACCAGCCCACTCCTGCATAAAGAGTCCCCTCCTCATTTATATAGGAAAAATGTGATGCTTCTGAGTCTAAGCACCCTTTCAAGTCATAGATTTAGGATCATACTCCCAGTGTGTGTCTATGGTGCTGAGGAATAAACTCAGTGTCCAGGTGTTGAGGTCTCAGTCACTGTCTTTTCCTATTAATCACTGTCTGCCTCAGTTTCCTCAACTATAAAATGAAGATAATGATAATGTCTACCCCAAAAGGTTGCTGTGAGGATAAAATGAGATAGTATTTATAAAAGTGCTTAGCACGGTGGAAGGCACGTTGCTGTTCAGTCGTGTCCAATTCTTTGTTACCCCATGGACCATAGCACACCAGGCCCCTCTGTCCTCCACTATCTCCCAAAGTCTGCACTTAGTATATGCTTAATAAAATGCTTATTTTCTTAGTTGTATTACATACGTATCTGTTGATCTGATTTTATTTATTAATATAGTGAAAATTGTCATGATTTCAATCTATTTTTCTGTATATGTGATCTATATAGAATCAAAGAATTTTTAGCAGTAGAAGGGACTTTTGTGATTCCCAAAGAGGGCAAGTTTATCCCAGGCTCTTCCTGGTACAGACCAGAAAGGCTATTTAGTTTCATTTATTTATTTATTTATTTATTTTAGCTAGGCAATGGGGTTAAGTGACTTGTCCATACAGCTAGTCACACAGCTAGTAAGTGTTATGTGTCTGAAGCCGAATTTGAACTCAGGTCCTCCTGAATCCAGGGCTGGTACTCTATCCACTGAGCTACCCAGCTGCCCCAAGGCTACTTTATTTGCCATAGCAGTCCCTGACTCCTACATCCACGCCATTCTTGTGTCCCTAGTGCCTTTGTGTCACCATGCCTAGACTAAAGCTGCTTGCTGATTCCACAACTGTGTGGTACCTCTCCTAATCTTTATATATATTGGATGCTCCAAAAGTCTTAGTATGGCTCATAGCTTACATGTGCTCTTTTCTTTTATGGTAACGGTGACAGACCAGGATTTTAAAGCTAGAAGGGACCTTATTTTGTAGATGAGGAAACTATGACCAGGGAGGAGGGTGATTTTACCTAAGTCCACATAGCTACTAAGAGATAAAGTGTGGATTAGATCCTCTGAATCCAAAATCAGGGCTCTTCCCACTCAACGGCCTTAGGACATTCAAATTCTTAAGACCAATACCTTCCACTGGACACATTTGTGCATCAGCTGGTTAAGATTAGTAATACAGTTTGGGGCCTTAAAAAATAGCTTGTGTTTGAGCAAAGTTAATTGTTTCATATAGAAGCAGCGTAGGGTAGCGGACAGAGTGTTGGACTTAGGATCAAGACCTGAGTTCAAAGGCTGCCTCAGATAATTGCTAACTAGGTGACCCTAGGCAAGTGTCTTAAACTCTCTGGGCCTCAGGGTCCTTATCTTCAAAATAAATGGGTTAGAAGTAGTAGCCTCTAAGGCCCCTTTCAGCTCTAAATCTATACTTCTATGAAATATACACCTTGCTCCATTTATCACAGTGCTCTGACCCCATAGCTTGATAAATCAGTCAACTGGTATTATTTTTAAACTTTATTTTATTTTTAATTTATGGAATAAAATAAGCATTTCCATAACATAGTACAACAAAAATATGAAACTGCAAATCTGCTATGCACAACTTGCTATTCCTTTCAAATATCCAACAAAATTTTCATGTAAATTTCTTTTTTTCCCCTTTCTTTTTCTTCCCTTCACCCCAACCCCGGCTACCATTAGACATAAATAGGTATAGACAGATAGATAGATATACATATATATACATATATACACACTATATATATGTATATGTATATATATGTAAAATTATTCTATACATACTTCTATTTATCAATTCTTTCTCTGGATGCAAATAGTGTTTTTCTTCATATGTCCCAAGAGAACTTTGTATACAATAATAGTAATACTGTTTTAAGGATGACTGAGCAAATAAGTTATTTTGACTATTATAAATGCCCAATTTAATTAATATTATTTAAGGACCTACTATGTGCCAATCACTGTGCTAGGGGTTGCATATATAAAAGTGTGACAGTTCTTTCCATCAGGGTTATTACATTCCATTTGATAAGGCGGTCCTGATATTGAGTCTTAACAAAAGAGGTCATAGACATGATAATGGAAACAGAACGTAACATGGTTAGAAAATAATTTTTTTCTTAAAATTTCTGGTGTACTTGTTTGCCTATGTCCACTCTTTATTAGATTGAGCTTCCTTGTCTGACTTCAAGGGTCAGAAAATTTAATCCATCAATTTAATTATTTTCTAATTTTCTTAGACATTTTAATGTCACAAAGTTTGTCAAGCAACGTACGTGTTCCTTAAAAAATAGCAGCATATTTTCTTACTTTGCTTACTTTATTTTCTACCTTGCTTGTTCTAGAATTCGACAGAAACAGAAAGAGGGGGGCACATATTCTCCCCGGGATGCAGAAATTATTGACACCAAATTCAAGCTAGATCAGTTTATCACAGTGGCAGACCTGGAGCTGAAGGATGAGAGATTAACTCGGTAAGCACACTCCTTTGGTAAAACGGTAGTCTGAAGGGTCTCTAGCCATGACCCCATTCTGACCTATGCTTGTTGGAAGTGTTTGTGGTACTTTTATTTACACAGGTCACTCAGATCATCTTTCAAAGGGTGACCTCCCTCTTCTACACACTTCTCACTAGTGATCAGAGAATCACTTAATCTTTCTTATTTTTAGAATAAAGACTTATGGCAAAAAAAATCATAAAATATAATTTCTAATTAGAAAAGAAGCTTTTAAAAAACCTTTGCTTGATAAATATTTTCAAATAATGTCAAGAAGCTGATATTTGGTCATGTATAAAAGCATCCACATTGTTAATGTGGCCTGATAATCATTACCTTTTCTATTTATTATTTTTATTTATTATTATTTATTTATTATTGCTTTTTTTTAATGATTGTCTTTGTTTGAATCATTCCTTTAGCATAAAAATCTTGCTTAAATCTTTTTCTATGTTCAATTTTATCAGGATTCTAAAGCACACATTCGCAACTATATCAAAAGATGCTAAATATTTTGAAACAAAATACAAAGTTAAAATGTCATAAAAATTAATAATTATGAAATTCATATACTGCACCAAATTCTAAAATTCTTGATTATTAAAAAAACTATAATAACTTGTCATGCCTCAGAGATGTATTCTAAGATCAAAATGTTTTCATAATTAAACATTTTATTGGAACAATGCATCTTTACTGATCTGGTAGAAATTGTTTCAGGTCTCATTAAGACCTGAAATAATATGCCTTTGGGTGAGTACTGGGGATGCTGAGCTAGGAAATGATTCCTCAGCAGGCCCAGGGAGAACAGAATTTATAAGACAAAAACAAACAATTATTATGGTCTCTAAGGTGATGCCATGGAAAGTTTGTATGGGGAAAGAAGAGAATTATCTATGATTGTCATAAGCAGAAGCTTGGTGTGTAAATTACAGGTTGACGCTGTGTAGATATTTCCAGTAAATCTATATATATCTGATACATGCTGTGAAAAGAAATGTCATCTGACAGACTATTGATTCAACTGCTATAAAGAGAAGTTTATTCACTGTTATTATGTCTGAATTGCAAACATAACTTTTGAGAACTGGAGATAAATTGACTTTCATTTAATTATCATTTAATTATTATCATTTTACTTGAATACTTAATTCACATAAGGGTGGCTTTTTGCCATTTAAATTTACTTTATGCCAGGATAATTCCTAAATATTGCTTTAGAAATGTATTTGACTGTTTGAGTTTTACATTTTTGATTTGATTTGTTGTATTTTCAATCTTCCTTGCTTAAGGTTCTAATATTCTTTATTCAAATATAGAAGTATAGGATTTGACCTTTGATTTCATTGTTATAGGAAATTCTCTTTATCAATGTAAGTCTACACCTTCTCTATACTTACTGTCTTAGAAAATAGCCTAGAGCAGTGAGAGGTTAAATTACTTGCCCAGAATCACACAGCCAGTAGGCAGGGAAAGTGGAAGCCCAGATCCTCCAGACTTCAAAGCTAGCTCTCTATCCACTATACTATACTGCCTCCCTATCTTTAACAGATACATATTTGTGTATATATACATATACATGTAAAATGTAATTCACATGTGATACATGACAGTCCATAATGTGCTTTACTGGATTCCCCATTGAAACTCATTGAAGCAGTTTTCAGTTGGCAATGTTGCTGACCCCTCCTATTAATCAATCAATGAATACACATTTATTGAGCACCTTCTTTGTGCTAGGCACTGTGCTAAGCAATGAGGATACAAAAAGAGACAAAAACCAGTCCTTGTTCCCAAGGAACTTTGCATCTAATGGATTACTGTAGGCTAATAGGACAAACTACTGATAATCTTCATATTTAAATGAACTACAAGCTGCTAATATTTTAGAAAATGGGTCCTTAGGTGAGCATCACCAACCACAGGGACTTAATTGACATGCAAATGAGCAAAAGGGGATCTGTCAAAAGCTAGTGAAATGGTACAGGTTTGTTATCTAGCACAACACCTCACATTGGCAAATAGGCATACACTAATCACTATAGGACACAACGATACATCTAATAAGTGAATTCCAGACATGAAAGACCATGTTTTGTGAGAGAAGAAAGGAAGGATCTGTCATCAACTAAGTGTCAAGGAATAATCAAGAAATACCTTCTGGAAGTGATGGCTTTTAAATTGAACTTTAAAGAAGTCAACCTCTGAAGAGGGGGAAGAGGGGGCATTACAGGCATAGGGAATAGTATGAACAAATACATGGAGGTGAGGAAATGCAGAGTGTGTTCAGGGTGTGTAAAGAATTGTCCATTTTAGTATAGCATAAGCAGTGATGAGGAATAAAGGCTGTAATACATAAAAAAGGTAGGGTATAAAAAATTGTGGAAGAATTTAAATGCTGGGAAAGGAATTTGAACTTGACTCAGTACATTACAGAGAACTACTGAAAATTTTTGAGCAAAGGAGAGAAAAGACCAAAGATCTTTGCATAAAAAAGATGAAGGATGGATTAGAGAGAAACAAAACAGATTCGTTAAGAGGTTATTGCAAGAACCCAGGTGGGTGGTAATGTAATAATAAAGGGAAAGTAATAATCAAGAGTACTAATAATTAATAATTTAAATAAAATAAAAGAGTATTAATAACTAATAAAAGAGTATTAATAAAGAGAAAGGGATAAGTGTGAGAGATGTTCCAGAGGTAGAATCAGTGAGACTTATTAAGATGAGCTGGAATGGTACAATGGATAGAGTCATAGGTTTCAAGTCAGGAGGATTTGAGTTCAAATTCTGCCCCTGGTATTTATTAACTGCATGACCCTGGGCAAGTCATTTTAGATTTCTAAGCCTCAATTTCTTCAAATGTAAAATGAGGATAATAATACCCATGGCAATTATCACATAGAAGTCCAAGTGAGACAATATATGTGAGCTATTATTGCTAATCATAACTCCCATTAATAGTGTACTATAAGGTTTGCAAAGCACTTATATATATTATCTCATTTGATCCTCATGAGAACTCTGCAAGATCTGCATTCTATAGGAAACTGAGGCTCAAAAAGGTTAAAAGTGTCTTTGCCAGAGTCACAGCTGGTAAATATCACAGGTAGGACTTAAAGCCAGGTCTTCCTGGATCCAAGTCCAGCCTTCCATTCCTATATCGCCAACTACTTGTTTGACATTTGTTAGATATTGTGAAACAGAGGTTCCCGCAGGAACTCAAACTTCACATGTCCAAAGGAGAATTAGTTATATCTTCCCCATAAAAACAAAGAAATCAAAAAAAGCAATAGAACAATCTTTTTCCAAAATTCCCTGTTTTTGTTATCTGCATTACCATTTTTTTCCTAGCCAACCAGTTTTACAGTCTTGTTGGAATCCTTGACTCTTTACTTTCACTCACTCTGCATCTAATCCGTTACCAAATCTTACTGTTTCTATCAGAAATTAGAGTCACTTCAGGGAGGAAAAATAATATGCTCAGTTTTGGACATGTTGAGTTTGAAGTATCAGTGGAAAACTCAGGAAGAGGGGCTGAATTTCAGTAGAGCTGGAGGTAGAGATTTGAGAACTATCCAAATAGAAGTTATAGAGGGGCAGCTAGGTGGCGCAGTGGTTAGAGCCCTGGTTTCAGGAGGACCTGAGTTCAAATCCAGCCTCAGACACATAACACTTACTAGCTATGTGACCCTGGGCAAGTCACTTAACCCCATTACCTAACGCAAAAAAAAAAAATGGAAGTTATAGGTAAAATCAAGAGAATAAATGAGATTATCAGGGAAAGGAGAAATGGACAGTGATAAAATGAAAATGGACGAGGAAATGGCAAACCACTCCAGTATCTTTACCAAGAAAAGTGTGAATTGGATCACAAAGAGTTGGACATGACAAAAACAAACAAACAAACAAACAAAAAGTCTAAACAACAACAAAATGAAAATGACTGATCAAGAATAGGCTAGAGATAGGAACTAGACCTGGGATTTCATTGGTATAGAAACTCACAGGTGAAAATTAGAATGGGGAACATCCAGGTTGGCACCTTCTCTTCAGCTCTTAGAAAATTGCCTAGAGCAGTGAGAGGGAAAGTGACTTGCCTAGGGTCACACATCCTGTCTGTGCCAGAAGTAGGTTCTTCCTTGCTTTGAAGGCTGGCTCTCTATTATGCCATGCTGCCTCTCAACTGAGAATAAAAATGGTATTTTAAAAATTTTTTTTTTATTGTTAGTGCTTCCTAAGAAGCACAGTACCTAGTAGGTACTTAATAAATGCTGATTGAATTGATGAATCATCTAGAAGGTGGGGAATCATTAAAATGCCTAGGTACTAAATCTTCTATAGACATTGCTTTTAAAAAGTTGTCTATTATACTTTGTTCTTTTCCTTTATATTTCTTTGCACTTTGATGCCTATCTTTATATCATGCTTCCTTAGATCAGTGCCTTGGTTTTTACCCCAAAGAGAAAAGAAAACAATCTATCACTCTATTTACAAATGTCTTTCCACATTACTGGTTTCATCCTTTTGCAACATAGCGCTCTGTTTTATCCACAGCTATTTCATATCATTCAATTATGCTGAAGTGATCCATCATTTTATCTTGATTTAGTTCAATAAAAGATGAATCACACTCAGGAAAGTTTTTTTTATGAATAGACACATCAGCATGGAATACCCATAGGTTTCCAGCTATGCAGGAAACGAATCAAAACACTGCTAATTAAACTTGCTTTTCTGAGCTCATATTCTGCCTTTGTAGTTTAAGTGGCTTATCAAGTAGCCTTGTTTTAGAGACAGTTTTATGGAAAAATGCAACAGGCCTCTTAAGAGAGCAGTCCCTTGCATTCTTTGAAACTTCAGGATATTTCACAAATTTGTTTGGATTTATCCCAGGGTGGGAGAGGGGAGGAGGGAAGGAAATCACTCAGTCCAATGTGGCTATCTGCTGGGCCGGATCAATCAATTAACAAGGCA